CTACCGTCACCAGGCAGGTTGGAGCCTCATGGACCCAATCCAGAGATCTGAGCAGAGCAGAAGTAAATAGGCGAGCAGAACCCCACAAAAGCTGCATGGAGTTTTGCAATACAGTGCATTTTTAAGATTACCTTTTCATGGCTTCCTTTTAAACTATGATTTGAAAAGTAAAACACTGTCATGGAAAATGCTCTATGAGATTGGTTTTTACCAAAACGGAATCATTCGGCAGATGGTTGGGAGTGGGGGAAGGCGGGAGAGGAATGGGATTTTAGAAAAGCAGAGGTGAGAGGCATCCCCACAGTTTTCAGAATCCACATCAAATGATCTGCTGCAGTCACAATCTAATCTAAGGCTCACGCAAGTTTCACGTTTTCACCCCTTCCTGCTCTGCTCTGAAGCCATCCATGTTCTCTTCCTGTTCTTCTATTTTCATTATATGCAAGAATACAGAAACATCTGCTCTCTTAGGAAAGCAGAACTGTTGGACTGTCTGTTGTAAACAGTCACCTACATGATTTTTCTACCCAAACCTAAAGTAGTATTACTGCCGTTAAGCAACAGGGCTGAAAGCCTGGCATGTGAGAGACGTGGACAGCAGCTTATAGGAAGACCTTACCCAAACTTCACTGGTCAGAGGGCTTTTACCTTCCAGACTGCTTCTATGGAACGTCTCTAGCTTCTTTTAGGGAATGAAGCATTTCTTGTTTACTTGGGAAAGGAACCAACATGCTCCAAATAGCTACAGTCTCCCCTTCATCCTTGGACTTCAGGGATACAGGGGCAACCTTTGTCTTGAGATTCATTTCAGGACTTTAGGAAGTCTTATAGTTTGAGTCATGAATATCCACCTCTCAGCAACTGCCAGAACGAGTAAACAGGAAATCAGCATAATTACAGATGATCTAACAGCAAAATAAACTAACAGGATTTGACTGACATGTATAGAACATTCCACCTAACAACAGCGGAATGCCCATTTTTTTCAAGTGCTCAAAGGAACATTCACCAAGATAGACCATATCCTGGGCCATAAAACCAACTGCAACAATTTTATAAGAATTGAAATCATACAGAGTATGTTTTCTGACAATAATGGAATCAGCCTAGAATCAATAACAGAAATACAATAGGAAAATCTCCAAACACTTGCACATTAAACAACATACCTCTAAAAAATCCACGGGTCAAAGAGAAAAATCTCAAATAAAAGAAAAAAAAATATAAACATGAATCAAAATATGGCATATAAAAATATGCGGGACACAGCTAAAGCAGGGCTGAGAAGGAAACAAAGCACAAAATTCTTACATTAGAAAAGAGAAAAGGTCTTAAATCAATAATCTAACTTCCTACCTCAAAAAACTACAAAAAGTAGAACGAAATAAAACTAAAATGAGAAGGGAGAACATAATAAAGACAAGAGGAGAAATCAATACAATTGAAACAATAAAACAATAGAGAAAATCAGTGAAACAAAGAGGCAGTTCTTTGAAAAGATCAATAAAAATTGATAAAAACAGCAAGATTTATGAAAATAAAAGGAAATTTAAAATTACCAATATCAAGATAGAACAGGATATCACAACATATCCTGTAGCTGTTAAAAGGATAATAGAGGAATACTACTGACAACTTTACACTCATAAACTCAACAACTTAGAAGAAGTGGGTCAATTCCTCAATGACCACAAACTACCAAAACTCAGCAAAGCTGAAATGGATAATCTGAATAGTCTTATAACCATAATGAATTCATATTTAAAAAGCTGCACACATTATCTTCAAATAAAAAGTAAAAAAAAAAAAAAAAAAAAATTCTGCTTCTGCAAATCCCCAGGCCCAGACAGTTTCACTGGAGAATTCTATCAAACATTTAAAGAAGATTTAGCACCAATTTTACACAATTTCACGCAAAAAATAAAAGAGGAGGAAACACTTCCTAATTTATTTTATGAAACCAGTATTATTCTAATACCAAAATTAGGATTTATTCATTCCCAAATGCCCATTTAGGAAAGTATATGGGACTTTACAAGTTCATTTTTGTTGTTTTTAGGACATGTCCAAGATCTTGGAGAATGAAGAACGAAGCTATATACATATATATGTAGAGAGAGAGAGGAGAGAGAGAGAGCGAGAGAGAGAGAGAGAGAGAGAGAGAGAGACAGAGAGAGAGAGAGAGAGAGAGAGAGCACACTTTTAAGTCAAACTGAAAAGGGAATTTGGAGTTGGAGACATGATGTAAAAGGAACGCTATTTTTTTCCCTCCCAATGTGTGATCTGTGCACAAATGTCTCAGCTGCTCTCTGCCGTTTGTTACTGACCAGCTCTGCAAAATAACATGGAAGCCCATGTGAGTCGGGAGACAAAAGTCCAGGCTCTCAATGTGTTCTGCTATTAAGCCACCCTGTGTACTTGAATAATTAATTAAATGTTATCTACCTCCGTAACATGCTGGTTTAGTTACAGCATGTTAAGTTCTATAGGATCATCCATGCCAGGAAATAAAGGCAAAACTAGTAAGTATGTTTATGTCATTATGATAAATTGGTTAACACACAGGCTTAAGAGGCTCTTTCCTCTATGAGACAGTCCACAGACATGGAGTTGTTCCCCCAAATAACTCCTCTATGTATGTCCCTTTGGGAAGTTGCTGATGGTGCCACTAAGCTCAGCGAAAAACTTCCCAGCTGTAGGGCCCAGAGCCCCCTTCCACCGTCACAGAGCCATCACCAAGCTGTGTTCCTTGGATTTTATTGGCAAAGGTGATTCTCAGTGAGATCTGGGGACACGATCTGCCTTCCCAAACACTCAGTAAATTCAGCAGAGGTGGAAACCACAGGGGGATTTTAGGCCTGATGTCAGCTGACAGCACAAGGGTCTACATGTGTATACTGATGTCATCACTCTCAGGGAGGATACTGTGCATGTATCATTTTGCATTTCTCAGCTCCCCACCCTCACAGGCACATTAGCTGCCACTCACTTCCTTGACACCTGAAGCACCGGCTGCTATTCTGGGCAAGATACTGACTTAGAATGCTTTCTTCTAATTACGTGTCATTAACTTGCCTTGGGGTGGCAGTTCCCTGGTGATGTGGGGCATGGGACAAGTCAAAGCCACTGGGTTGTCACAAAAGCCACTAGTTAGGTCTCCCCAAGATGGGGAGGGTGGTTTCTGCATCCCCAAATTCCCCTACAGTGTTTTCAAAAGGGTAAGAAAAGGTCATGTGGATTCTCCCTTGGGTTGACATGCATCAGTGAAGGTAGCGGGGAAAAGTCAGTGGGGAGCCCGAGGCTTGTTCTAAATCTTATTCTGTTGCCCAGTTAACATATTCATCCAACTTTCTCAGCACCTCACACAGACCCAGAGTTCACGGGATAGTGGGATCCCGCACGTCTGGACCTGCATTCCTGTATGTGAGCTATACCCTAACACAAGACTGAAATATCCTTCAGAAAACTCTCAAACAGTGGCACTAAACTAAATTTTTAAAAAATCATTATAATTAGATATTGGCATCTTTCTTCTTCTAAAGGCAGTGGCAACCGAAAAGGAAAACTTTGCTATAGCCTCTGGACCAATAGCTAGAAGATTATAAATTAACTCTTTGATAACACGAGCAGGAAAAAAAAAAGACAGTTCAAGAATGCAAACAACACGTTACTAGAGTCTGTGTCTAAATTGATAGCACAGTTACCACCAGAATGACAGAGATAATACCATTTTCCAACAGTCAGAGAAAATATGGCCGAACGCTTGCCTTAAAGTGACTAATAACTAGAAATCCTTTAGTGCTCTCATTACTGTGAAAGTGTAAGGTCAATTCAGAGGTCAAAATATATTCTTCCCCAAACTGATACAGTGTTGAAAATAAGACATAGTCTGGTTGGCTGCTATATGTGTCTCCTCTTCTCCCACAGACTTTAAGCCGTGAGATGATCTAAAGAATATGCAGCTACACCCAACACGGAGGAATCAAATGACCCCTCCAAGGTGACAAAATGCCAGCAGCATCAGTGTGAGTATTCTAGTGGGGACTGGTATTCATCCTTGGCAAGGATGGTGCTTTTTGTCATAACGTATAAAAACCGTCCACCTCCTATAGATATCACACAGGCATACTGCACACATTACAGATGCACATACATACATCCAGTGCGGAAACTGGGTGGCAGATGGGAGTGTGGGCTCTGACATGCTGCCCTACTCACGGAAGGCAGGGTGCCCCAGCCAGGCGGTCTGCAGCAGGACCATCAGCGGTTTTCTCTGCCGTGTGGGCGGCAGAAAGGACATAAACGTCTCCCTAGCACAGGTCACTGAGGCCTGCCGGCTTCCTGCTGCTGTCGGGGTCGCGGCATCCCATCAGGAGTGTGACACAGTAGGGCAAGAGACCGGTTCACTGTGAGACCTGCTACTCACTCTCGGACAGTGCCTCGGCCCCCCTTCCCACTGCACAGTGGCCGCCGCAGGAGGCTGTGGCCCTCCAGACCATAAGCCAGGGTCTGAGTTCCATCGGGACACAGGCTGCAGTGTCAGTGGCCTTCTTCCCAAAACGCTGCTTTCTAGGATGCTACAGAAACAAGCTAATTTGGTGCCCTAGCCTTAGGAACAGAGGAGAAGTCTCTTTAGGTTGAAAAGGGGGGAAAAAGTATGAACTAGGAAGACAGGGATGTAGCTGGCTCTCTGCTTTCAGAGAAACTAAGAGGATCCTCAAGTCATTTACGGAGACCGCGTTTCACATGCATGCTAGGGATGCTGGGGATGCTGGGGATGCTGGGGATGCTGGGGATGCTGGTGTGACATGGGCTTCTCCTCCTTGGACCTGTCACTTTTCCACATGGAGTTAATCAAATGCTCCTTTATCTTCTCTGGGGAAGGGAAATGAGCTGATTTAAATTGCCAAGCTTGGATACTCATCCAAAGAGGACAGCTGAGAGATTTATGTGCAAAATAACCGAGTTGGAGGAGAAAATGGGAAACGGATTCCAAGTACCTGCTTGCTGTGCTGTCTGTGGCATCTGCTGGCCTCTCGGAGCACTGAACTGAACAGAGGCCATGGGCCGGTACTGCTGCGTGGTTGAGGTAGGGTACTGACCAGATGGATAATAATATACAGGCATCTGTGGAAGAAAGGGAACAATGGCAGGAAATGAGAGCTGTAAATGGAGTAACATTTTTAAACGTAAAATATTATCATCTTATGACATAATGTGTGTGTGTGTGTGTGTGTGTGTGTGTGTGTGTGTGTGTGTGCGTGCGCGCGCGCGCATTACTGCTCCCATGAAGAGGTGAAATCTACTCCCGAAAGCCATGAATCTCAGCTGGCTCTGTCTTGCTTTGACCAATGCCATGAGACAGAAATGATGACTTCTGAGACTTGTAAGCCTGATCCTTAGGAAGACTTGCAGCTTCTACTCTTTCAGGAGAGAACCCAGCCACCAGGAGAAGTCCAGGCTACCCAGCTGGAGAAAGAGGCCGTGTGGAGAACAGAGGCAGCCCGGCCAAGACCCCAACACTGCAGCATGTAAGTCAGGCCACCTGGGATCTTCCAGGCCCTGTCAAGCCACGTGTGGTGCAGAGGTGAGCCATCGCTGCCAAGTCCTGCTCAAATTGCCAACCTGGCTGTGAGCAATACAATGGTGATTGTCTTAAGGTGCTGAATTTTGTGCTTTTTAAATGAAACAAGAGTGAATGAAACAGTCATCTACAACAACAACGCATTTTTACGGTAGTTTTAAATATGATCATTAACTTGCATTGTTTTGCTAATGGAAACACAGTTAGGTCATGAAATCTGCTGATCTCCAGCCTAAAAGAATCAGAGGATGAAATTATGAAATATGGGGAGGCCCAGCAAAGCACTTTTCAGAGTGACTGGCACATAGCTGGTATCCCAAAAAACGTATGTTCAGTTTTAAAAGGGACATATGTTAAAAATACTGTTCATGTCACCTTCTGTCACTTTCTAATGACTAAGAATGATTGAAAATACTCTAATTACTTCCAATAAGATTCAAATCAAATGTCTCCTGATCTGGAAAGACCTCCTTGCCTGCCTCGGGTCATTTATATTAAGGCTGTTTTCTTATTTTTTAGAAATTTATTTATTTATTTTGGGCTGCGATAGGTCTTCGTTGCTGCACGTGGCCTTTCTCTAGTTGCGGCAAGCGGGGGCTACTCTTCCTTGTGGTGTGCGGGCTTCTCATTGCGGTGGCTTCTCTTGTTGAGTGTGGGCTCTAGGCGTGTGGGCTTCCATAGTTGTGGCTCACAGGCTCTAGAGCGCAGGCTCAGTAGTTGCGGTGCCCAGGCTTAGCTGCTCCGCGGCATGTGGGATCTTCTCGGACCAGGGCTCGAACCCGTGTCCCCTGCATTGGCAGGTGGATTCTTAACCACTGCACCACCAGGGAAGCCCTGTTTTCTTATTAATTGATTACTTTTTTATTTACAGGCCTCTGACTTTTCTTCTATCAGCTTCTTTAAAGTGTAAGCAGAGGTGTGCCAGTACACAGCCTGCAAGGATTAACTGCTTAGAATAACATTAGGAGCCACCTGTTTGAGAACTGTGAATTTTATGGCTATTTTATTTTGCTTCTTTGCCTTGTCCGTACATTTTTTAATATTTTTTCACGGTACGCGGGCCTCTCACTGTTATGGCCTCTCCCGTCGCAGAGCACAGGCTCCGGACGCGCAGGCTCAGCAGCCATGGCTCACGGGCCCAGCCGCTCCACGGCACGAGGGATCCTCCAGGACCGGGACATGAACCCGTGTCCCCCGCATCGGCAGGCGGACCCCCAACCACTGCGCCACCAGGGAAGCCCTTGTCCATACATTTTTGCTTCACCCTTCCAGTGGGCGTTCAGAAAGCATTCACCCAAATCAGACAAAACTGACCTTTAAGGTTACTAAATAGGTCATTTTCTGCATAAACATAACGTATTTCCATATATGCCCATGGACTGTATCTCAAGTGTTCTTTTCAACACTATACATAATTGAGTAAACTGAGTTTTAAAATGTTTACTAACTTGACAATCACTGTGGGTTATATCCTATACCTTTATCTGTGGTACTTTTACAAAGAAGTTCACAGATGTCCAGACTGCTCACGAGCATCTGCTTTCCTTTTTTTTTCCCATCCGTCCCTCTTTCTATTTTTAAATCTGCTGGAGAGGGAGTGAAAGCATTTCTGTTGCAGACACACCAAAGCTCTGAGTTGTCTTTGCTCTTGTAGTGCACTAATTATTGAAATTCCTTCAATCAAGGAAGGGCATTTTTAAAAAAAGTCTTCAATTAAATATTCTGCCAACTCTTCTCTGTGACATCAGAAAAGGGTGACACTTAGATGCTATTTAGGCTAAAAGAGTGAAACCATTTTTTCCCTGATAATTAAAGTAAATATGTAATTTATTAGTAAAATAATTAATATGTCAATGAGGTCCTTTCTCCTGTAACTTAAAATTATTTTTAACATCTCCTTAAACCCTACCAGCAACACTACTACATTACAGAGAAGGCAACTAAAGATGGACTATTAATTATCACTCAAAATAAAATGAACAACTGGGTGAAAATCATTTCGTGGTGGAGGATTCTGCATGGCTGGAAAAGAAAATAATTTATTCAAGATGTTAAGGCAGTGCCACACCACAAATGATACGAAGGTGACACTGTACTTTAAACGGCTCATCCAATGCAATATTTTTTCATAATTAGGATGGAATTTGCTTGGGATATGCATGCCTTGAAAATGGACCAGAAAATGCTTCTGTGCATTTTACATCTTGACAGTAATCACTTGCAATATTCTGCAAGGGATACCCAGGAGAGCCCCAGAGAGGTTTGGTGGTGAAGAGTAACACATAATCAGTCTTTGAAAAGACAGTAAAAATCAGTGATCTGTTGTGTCTTACATGCTCAAGTCAATTAAATATGATTAATGGCTACCTGTGAGCGTGTGCAGGAGCCCCGCTCCCCAGGGGAGTGGAGAGGACAGTGGATGGGGCTTAGCTTCCTCCTTTATATTCAGAGAGGAGCCCCAGAAAAGCTCCAGAAAATGCTTATGAATGGATAAGAAAGGAAACAACACATTTCCAGAGCAGCAGCAAGAGAGATGAAAGTCCCCCAGGAGGTGGCCTTCCCCTTTCTTCCCCGAGGCTTTCCCTCCCTGGGCAATCACCCCAGTGAGCTGACATCCTGCTGGAGGGCAATGCTCTCCCATGGCCTCTGCACCAGCAGCCTGGAAAATGGGCCACTTCCCCTGGTACCAGGGACACGGGTCTGTGTCATTAAACTTACTTTCTGAGCCCCCAAGACTTCACATAACTGATGAATGTGACAGACCGGGTCCTGTAGGCTGGGAATATCAGTATGGACCACAAGAGCGAGATGAGTTGAGCTGGTGCTATTCTACATGGAAACAGAGGTCAAGACGCACCAGCAACCAGCTCTGGGTCACAGGTGTGAGAAAAAGCACACTTACCTGTGTGGGTGGAGGCTGTTGCACAAATCCCTGGGGCGAGGGAGGGGGCTGGAGGACTTGCTGGGAGATGGGAGGGCCAGAGCCCGAGAAGCCCCCCGTTGGGAGCTGCTGGCCTGTGGAGGCGATGACGTAGCTTGGCTGCTGGGTGGGCTGCGGCAGGAGGGACGGTGTGTAGACAGGGCCGGCTGGTGGCTCGGGAGTCTCCCCCGAGGACTGCCGGCTCAGGTTCATCTGGCCAAACTGCGTGGTCACATCCTCTCTCTGCAAGCCATGGAGAGAAACCAGGGCATCAGCAAGCGTGGCTGAGGAATGGGAGTGGCAGACATAGGACACAGGCTTGTCCTCATAAGGACGGAGGGAGAACAATTTGGAAAAAAATAAACGAAAGGAATTCTCTGTTCAGAACACCGAGGGAACATAACAAGAGAAGACAGATTTTAATCATCTTGAGGATTAGAGATGGCAAACAGTTTGACCCGTATCTCCCTCTTTCAGTGGAAACAAATTATTATTTTTTTCACTGAGGGCTTGGGATCCTCAGGATGGCACTGAGACAAGAAGGATTTGGGGCTCTGTCCTGGAGGGTCATCTGGTCTACCAGCAGTAACCATAGGATTTGCTCTCTGGAGGATGCAGAAGGACTTGTGCTGCCCATGTCTGCCACAAAACTCGAGCCAGAACTGGTGTCATCAGTGGGGTCTCATTTGCACGTTAAAGATTATTTAGTCACTGGCCTGGCCTGATGTTCAGGGACAATGCTCACTCTTGTTGTCCAAAAGGACCTAGTACATTGAGGAGAAATGAGAGGCCGTTGGAGGATTGGGATTCCAGGGGAACACCTGTATCAGGAGCACAGGGTGATGTCAGTTACCATCTGGATATTGACTTTTTAGATATTTCCCAACCCTCACACCAAGTTCATGTGTCTCTCTGTTCCTGACATGTAACTCTGAAGACATTCAATTCCCGCTTAGCTCACAAACTCTTAAAAGGGTACCACTGCAGAAGCACTAAACATGGGACAGGTGACAGAAAGGAAAGCACTATTTTGGAGAATGAGACATTCACACACCACCTCCCCGCTTACAGTCAGCCCAGGGCACCCACCCAGCGTGAGGCTTCCCTGCACAAGAAAGTAGTAAAACCAGTGAATATGCTCTCCCAGGTGAAAAGTCATCCCCACATGATACAGTACCATGGGGAACTGCGGCGTCGGAGACACGGGCAGGAGGTGCTGGGAAGCAAAAGACACAGCTGGGTATTGCACTGACTGGGAGGAAGCCTGCAGACCCTGGAGAGACTGGAGGAAAGAAAAAGCTGGTCAGGTAACAGGGAAATACTGGGGGTTGAAATCCCACCGGAAGGCGATCGCATCTGAAGCACACCACCGTCCCCCTCATAGGTCCTCCTGGTTCAGTGCACTCCAGAGAGGGGCACCAGCCACCGACAGGAAGCCAAAGCAGGCAGACCAGCACCAGCCAGCCTTGAGGGAGGCTTGCTGCTCAGATATGAAGTCCTGTGTGTGAAACTTTTGAAAATTGTAAAGCACTATAGAACTTAAAGAATCTTTCATCCAATTAAGAAAAAAGAAGTTATTGTGATACTTTACATGTTGCTGTTGTTGGTCAGATCCCTGGGTCTAAAAATATAGTCCAAGTACTAAAAAGTAAGAAAAAAAAAATGAGATTCAGGGGACTTCCCTGGCTGTCCAGTGGTTAAGACTCTGTGCTTCCACTGCAGGCCCAGGAGCCAAGATCCCTGCATGCCACCCACTGTGGCCAAAAAAAAAAAAAAAAAAAGGTTAGGAGGGAAGGAGGTGAGAAGACATCTTTTGCCCTAAGCAGTCAGTGACATGTTTGTTTATCAGAAATGACAATTGACACCACATATTCTTTTATGATCTCTAACTTTAAATTACTCATGCACCCTGGCACCTGCCTGGAACACTTCAGATTTCTGAAAGTTTCCATGTGTTGCCCTAGAAAAGGACAGCTCTATGTCTCTCCAAGGGACAAATGAACAGCCTGGCCACCTGATCTGCATTAGGAATGGGTGAGCAAGGTGACACAATGGCCTGGATGGGCTTGAGTTCAGTCCCCAAGACAGTACAGACTCCTTGACACATAAAAGCAGCATCTGGATCTAAGACAAGACTTGTCATTCATCTTCCCAAGTACCATGCCTCACCATGCGTGTCACTGGACGGGGCCCTCATCTCTACCCAAGCTTAAGGATCCAGCTGAAGTCCTGTCAACCTGCAGCCAAGGGCTCTAGGCTGCCAGGTTTTATTATGGAGTTGAGTGGATGGGGCTGGCACCCATGGAAAATATCACCTCTTCCTGATGCCCCGCATCACTGAGGCTGGTGCAGTCTGCATCTCCGAGCACTTCCCCTCCCTGCCTTCCCACCAGCTCTTACCTGAGTGACCAGTGGGCCTGCCATTTGCGTCTGGGGTGGCTGGGCCTGCTGCTGGGGCCGCGGGGAGGGCTGCTGCTGGGGCTGCTGCTGGGGCTGCCCCACCATTGTGCTTCGCAGGGGCTGCTGGCTGGTGGGGGGGTTGTATATGGCGGGGGTTCCATCAGGATTCACGAAGGGCTGGCCTGCAGTGGAATCACACCTTGGTCAAGGTAAACTTCTCAAGCTCTCCTTTGGCACAAAGAACCACTCCGACAGATACTCAAAAATGTAACCTAAAGCAAAGGGGCAGGGGAAGTCCAGGACACTGGAGCCTTTGCCAGTGTGAAGACTTGACTGTTTATGACCCATCAGGCTGAGCGAGGTAAGAGCGTAAGCCCACAGCAATGTAAAGAAGCTGCAAATGAATCCATCACCTTCAAGGCAATTTGCCAAAGCTAAGTGCATCTGTACAGTGGCACCCAGTGCAGAAGGCCTGTGGAGAAGCAACCTTCACCAAGTCCTGTGTCTTGCTGCCCTGCACCTCACAGCTACCAGCGAGATAACTTACACTGAAATATAAGGGCTGCTTTCCATTTATACGGCTCTGGCGACATTCGGTTACTCAATATTTACCAATATATTTGTTTTGCTTCCACTGGGCTGGTCACCAACTTAGAATCATTATCAGTTCCACAAATATATATACAACCAGGATATACCACATGCATTCACTCGCTTCTCTAAATAGACACAAGCAGGAGTACACAGGGGAGGGGACAGAGATTCTGAAGGTGATGCATAATAAACCCATCACAGAATCATCTTGTCATGGCAGAGCAAATATACATTATTTTGCCTTTTGAGATAATGGCTTGGTTCACTGTTATTGTTCCTACTATTTGAGGAGTATTTTATGGTTTACAAAACAGTATCACTGGAGCCTCACTGGGCCTCTGAGAAAGGTAGGTATCATCTCCCTATGTTTCAGAAGAGGAAATGAAGGCCCACCAGGAATATTACAGGAATAGGGAGCTGAAAGGAAGAGATTAAAGGGCAGCAAATGAAAGAGAGAGAAAGGAGGTAAGGGAGAGAAGAAATGGATTTCCAATATGGAAGGCGCAGCAACAGGCACCTTACATCCATGGTCTTCTCTCCCAAGAGCCCCACAGGTGTGCAATCTCATTCCACTTTAGAGACAAGACAATCAAAGTTTGGAGGGCCCAAGCAATTTATTCAGAAATACACAAAGCAGTAAGTGAGACACCCAGGAAATGGCCCTGGTCCATTCGCCTCCCATCATACCACGCAACTTAAGTGAATTATCCAAGTTTGCTTAATGAGTACATGGTACAACGAGGTACCATGAAAAAAATCCAATTGTAACTGAAAATTATTCATCAACACATGAGAAGTTAGGAGAGGTGGGGGCCATGTTTCAAGGTGGAATCACCCCCAGGATTGGTAAATAAAGAAGAATCAGAATTCTGGGGGAAAAGATGGGCAAAGTGCTTACAGCGAAAGAGCAGTGGACTTGATTTCAGCTCAGTTAGGAACTGACATGAAAGCTTTAGCATTCCCCAAATTTTCAGTACCCTCCCAAATATTTATATACATATGTATGTGTGTATGTATGCAACAAGTAACCTTACATGCTGCATATTCATGAACATACCTGCCAGAACCACAGGAGTTCTAACAACAGTTTCATAACCACTCACAACATGATGTGATGGAAAAGCAAATGTGCCAGAATTTTCGTCAGAGAACAATGACTAAATTTAGAGGTTTTTTTTTTTTTAAATGTTCTTCATAAGCACTTGTTTTCCTATCACTGTTACTTAATTTTAGCTATATTTTATTGTTTTAAATTACTGTTCTTTTTTCCAAAATAACTCTTGTGAATTTAAAATCTGAAACCCATTTTTTTTTTTCCCTGCAAAACCCAGCAATTTGGGAAAGGATGAAAAAAAAGGTCAATTTACAAAAATCTACTAGCCCATTTGGGGTTCTAATCCTTACTTGTCTCCTCTCTGTGTATCTTAATAGGGAAAAGGAAAATTTTAAGTACCTAACATTTAAAAAAAATTATCACAGCAACTTCATACAAAATCATTTCAAAGTCAACCTCACTCTAAGCTCACACACACACACACACACACACACACACACACACGCAGATGGAAAACTAAAAAGAAAAGGCTCTTTACTATGTCCGTGACTTTTGATTTACCCCAGTGAGAATTAAGGAAGTGTGAAAAACTGACCATATTTAGGGTGAAAATATAACAGCAAAATATTCAGATGCCATTTTCGATAAATTTTAGACCCTCTGTTCAAAATATTATTATTGTGCTGTGGACCAGAAGGAAGAAATATTTCTAAATAACCGCATGTGAAAGGTACTAAGAATTCACTTGGGTAGAGAGAGGTGGCAGGTTCTTCTAGAAAGAGAAGGTAGTATAAAAGGTTGATTCTTATGCTCACCAAGGAGTGGTGGAGAGAACTGAGGAAAATGAAAGAAGTCAGATGGATGCCAGGGAAGAGACCAAAAACAATTTTCTAAGAGGGCCGGGATGACTGACTATTGGTTTTCAAGTCAGGCTATGGTGGCTTCTCGGTATTCTACCTTGTTTACCAATCCAGATGCAATTACGACTGAATCCAGGCCATTAGTTTGAATGACAGTGGCTGAAAATCAAAAGAGAAAGACTCACTGGCTCCAGGACTATTCCGCTTAGCAGAGGTTTTCACGTCAGAACTGCAGAAGCATGTCCAGCAGGCCTCGGAATGGGTGTTAGCAGGTAAAGAGAGTGCAGTGACAGAGGTAAGCCAGTGTGGCGAGCTGAGCCAGGGCAGAGAAAAGGATTGAATGCAGAACGTCCGTCGCTCTCAAATACGTAACTTTAGGTGAAAAACGTCTCCACTATTCACATCAATGTGTGTAATGTGCAGCAGACATTATGTTACTAATATATAATGATTGAGCCCCTGCATGGTGACTAAAGCTTTGTTATCCATTCCAGGGATGCAAAACAAAAACGAGAAACTAAGTAGGACTCCTCCTCCCAAAGAGCTTACCAATGTGCCGGTAATAAGGAAATGAATCCAAGGGCAGTTCACACTAGAAGCAAAGTAATCATATGCTCTTGGTTTCCAATACCAAAGCACTGCTACCATGTACCCGGCAGAAGGGTATTATTTAAAAAGAAAGGGAGGGGATGATGGGAAAAATATTTTCCTTTCCTAGTCCTTGGAAGGTGAGCAATCAAATGATTAGGGAGCTGATGATTATGGATAAGCAAAGACTGATCCAGGACTTGCAAAGATACGTTTCTAGAGAGCACACAAAAACTTCATGGTGCATTTAATCGAAAGGTGGAAACAGTTTGGATAAATCGATTCTAGAAGTCCTGTGAAAAACAAGAACAGCATAGTGTTACGGAAGCCCATCAGGAGCATTTGAAAGAGACCAGCCCTCAAAGGCGTCTCAAAGCCAAGTCCCTGCAGATGGCGTGTTCTTCCATCTCATGCTCCTGGACTCCTGCCAGATGAAAGCAAAGCAAAATGGCAAAACAACACACATGGCACTAACGAGGACTTGAGGGATGCCAACACCTGTTGCCATCTCTGGATAGCACTGGGTTGAAAGAAAACAGCCAAAGATGAGCTTTCAGCTAGAAATTTCCAAAATGAGGCTGAGTCCAAGACGGCTGGAGGAAGATCATTCTCAAGAGTCAAACCCAGGCTTGCCTGGCAAGGATGAAGATGCGGTCCAGGGATAACTCTGAGAAAGAGCCTCTGACTCCCTCATCCAGATTTCTGCAAAGCAAAGAAACAACAGCCAGCGCAGGTTCAGAGTTAGAAATGGACCAAATGGGAGCTGAGTCTAAAGCCAGACGAAATAAAAAGTCCTGGTTGTATCTGGGGAACCACAAGAATGTATGTGGGTGGGTTGGTTTCAGCTGCCAAATATTCAGTTCCTAGTAAGAGCCCGGTCAATTGTGCTGACAAAGGAAGTTTCATTTTTGTTTCATTTAATAGACAAATGACTGGCAGGCACCTTGGTATTTCAAATCATTGCTTGTCTTATTACTGCTTAAGACAGATATTTAATCAATCATCGTTTTACACATGAGGGACATTCTCAAATATATGACATTGGATGAAAAACTGCTCTATTATCCACATTAGCATATATGATGAGTAGTAGATATTGTTTCAAAAATATGTAATTGTTGAGGACCTTTGTTATCCACTCTAGGGAGGCCAAAAATATAACCAAGTACGGTTCCTCCCCACAAGCTCATGAATGTGCTGGTAACAGGGAAATGGATCCAAGGGCAATTCACATAAGAAGCAAAGTAGTCATATGCTCTGGGTTGCTTATACCAAAGTGTTCCTACCATATATTTGGCAGAGGGTATTTAGGAAAAGGTAAGAGGTGTGGATTCTAGGGGGATACAGCAATGCCAGAGAAAGATGAGTTCCAGCCCAAAGGAGGCAAATTTCCAGTTTCAATAGTAGAGTCAAATAAGTGATCAGATAGCCTGATAGACAGACATGCACACGACTCACAACAGATACACATATACATACATGTATATGATACGTGATAGATGTATACGTACATTCATATGTGCTGGCGTGTGTGTGTGTGTGTGTGTGTGTGTTTTGGTCATGCCACATGACTTGCAGGATCTTAGATCCCTGACAAGGGATTGAACCTGGAGCCATGGCAGTGAAAGCCTTAAGGCCTAACCACTGGACCACCAGGGAACTCCTGTTCATATTTTTTAAAATTAATTAATTAGTTTATTTATGGATGCATTGGGTCTTCGTTGCTGCCTGCAGGCTTTCTCTAGTTGCAGCGAGCGGGGGGCCACTCTTCGTTGCAGTGCGCGGGCTTCTTATTGTGGTGGCTTCTCCTATTGCAGTGCATGAGCTCTATGCGTGCGGGTTTCTGTAGTTGTGGCGCACGGGCTTAGTTGCTCCTCGGCATGTGGGATCTTCCCGGACCAGGGATCGAACCCGTGTCCCCTGCATTGGCAGGCGGATTCTTAACCACTGTGCCACCAGGGAAGTCCCCCCGCGCATACTTTTAATTGACAAAAATAAACACATTCTGGGAAAAAAGAAACATCACAATTCACCTTACATCCCACCACTCAATCACAGAATAGAATAGTACATCTTCCTCCTGGTCGAGGGATAGTTTTATGTCTAGCATTTGTCAGATCAGAGATGTGTGTAGGGA